GTAGGAGAGATAAGGCAAAAGGCAGGTAATATTCCATTTGATAAGAATACTATTGAAAAGTAAGCTCTCTAGATAAATACAAAGAACTACTTTCAGAGAGAGATTCGATTCTTACATTCAATCTATTGTCATTTCCGACAGATCCGAGAAAGTGTATAATATTCTCTCATATTCTTGTCATTTATCATTGTGAGAAAAAGGAATCATTCACCTTTTTCATTATTGGGTGAATCTTCTTCCTTATTTACATTTAGTGTCATTTATTGTTATTTATTACTTGCTCTCACCACATTAATAACAACAATATTTATTATGTATTGCATTAAATTCACTTCTACGAGGTCCCATGTTATCCATACACACTGATTTTAGATCTAGGGATATTATCTTTAAATAGGATTAATCTCTTATCTTTTTATTTAATTAGTTTAACAAAGAGTTTCTTGCTTTTTGGTCAAACATGTATGACCCGTAATTTAGTTCATCTTGACACAAACAAATTTGGAGCGGGGTGGAGTATTAATCATGTACTATTGGCATAACTCTCATTTGCCTCGTCCAAATGTTACCTAACCCACTCATTTGATACCCATAGTTGTGAAGATGACAAGCGAAAGATCAGTAGTATAATGTTTTATCACAAGCACTTATAATCAACTATGCCATGAATTTGAAATTTTGTTAGAAATAATATATTTTAAAAATCTCTTATTGTATTGAAAATTACATCGACTAAAGTGTGCATGGGATTAAGAATTTGACCTAGACATGGGATTAAGAGCATAGTCATAATTTAAGCTAGTCATATCATTCTTCTTATACCAAACATGGAAAGCATTAGAATGAAAGAACCTAGCTAGTCCAACTTGACAATGATCAATATCAACACTTGATAAATCTCAAATGTTAGTTTTTATTGTGAAAAAGGTCAAATAACTAAAAAAACACTTGTATTGGCCATATGCATAATGAAGAAACTATATTTTAATACAGGTACTAATACTTATTATCAGGAAGTACGGTAAGATTGATTGACATTCATTAACCCTTAATAATACTAGATTCAAGTCCTATGAATAAACAACTTTTGATAGGAAATGTGTTACTCTCTTGGTGAGTCTATTCAAAGTGATTCGAAATACCAAATACCAAAAGCAATAAAAGGTCAGTCCGGTACACAAAATATTATGTAAGAACTATACCCAGAGACGGAGCTAACCTATAAGGTGTGAGTTTAGCCAAACCAAGTCACTTTTGCTTAAGCACTGTATTTGTACTAGAAAATTTATTAAATATATATAAATTTTAAATTGCGAACCCAATAACTAAGATGAGTTATAGGTCCTTGTGGCAAATTCAGAACCCGTAAAATTCAAATTCTGGCTCGCACTTTGACTGTACCCTAAGAGGTATAATGTAGACAGTCAACCTTGACGCAAATATCAATGACTGATTCCATCGCTTAAATTCGTAACATATAGATCACACGGAATGACTAAAGCAATAAAGAAAAAGAAATTGGAGCAATTTGGTTAGGGAAAAAAAAATGCAAAATTGTACTATTTTGCATTTCTAATAAAATACTATAAAGTATTTTATTTCTAATAAAATACTATAAAGTACTTAACAAAAAGCCAAGAAATTACTCAATGTCCATTTGGCCACCAAGTCATTGTAGTATTTTTCGCGGGCTATTATCAAATAGTACAAAATGAAATTACAAAAGCTCCCGCCAATTTTGAATTCCTCTTTATTTATACAACTTTCTAATAAAATTTTCGCGAGCTCGTATTTTCATTTGCAGCAGCGATTAGGGTTTCGTTCGAAGCATTGAGTAAAGCATTTTCAGCAATCTAGGGTTTCGGATTTGGGGAATTTTCTAGAAGAATGAGCGCTGTCAACATTACAAACGTTGCTGTATTGGATAATCCGGCACCGTTTCTCAGTCCTTTCCAGTTCGAGATCTCTTATGAGTGCCTCGATGCCCTTAAAGATGGTAAAATTATTCATTTTCATTGCTTAAATTTCCATTCTGATGTCAAAATTGTTGTGTTTTCGGGTAAATTTAAGCAAAAGTTTATGCATGTAGTGTAACAATGGTAATATAGTCAATATTTGCCTCTATATGTTTATATTATGTTGTTTTTGATTTAATTTAACAAGGGTGATTTAGACACACACACACACACATATATAGCTTGAAGAATTAAAATTCGAAATAATTGCTGGGTGAGCTATTGAAATTAGAGCCTATGTGCCATAGGTAGTGGTAGAGCTAGGAATTTATACCAGAGATTAAAAAATTTGAGCCTGTGACCTATAGTACCATTTGAGTTATTCATTTGGGTGCATCTCTTTCTCATCAGAGAAACTTAGAGTGAGAAAAGACCAAATGTGACATATGCCGTGGAACGTGGTTCCTGGGACACAACTGCAGTTGATGCAATATCCATTTTAAGAGTTCTTTAAAATAGTGAACCGAACAGTGGAATCACATGAGTTCCATTTTTTTGCCTTGCTAGTTGTAGATTGTACTCTGAAACCTTTGAATTTGGTCTTTCAGAGAGTAAAGATTTCCCCCTGATTACTAGCTAAGTTAGTTTTCTATACGAATATTTGGTGCCTTCTGCATGTATAAGCACTAAAGGCAAAGGAATGTACTGAAAAATGAGACTGCTTGCCTGAGAACAGTAAATATGGGGTAAAGCATTTTGACTAAGCATGACATACAAGCAGGGATTCGTTTTTCTTTTATACTATAAGCAGGGATACTATAAGAAGACAATTTCAGATCATGAATCAGATAATGATCTAAGAAATGCTTGTGGTGATTGATGAAACTCTAAAAGTTGTGACCTTGGGACTTTAAATAGTTTAACTAAGGTACTACTGTCTTCATCCTGTGAAATTCATTTTGTTGTTGAACTTTGTTCATTAGTATGTCGGGGAAGGAAAATGGATATTACTTGTTTGCAGCTGGAGATTTCAGTTTAACTTTAATGATTTTCTCTTTCTGGATCTTCAGATTACAATGTTGTTCGTTGCTGACAGGTTTCGCTAGTCTTCTAATTGTTATAAGTAGGGATCACCTTATTTCACCAATGTTGACCATTTCAATTTCTTTTAGATTTAGAATGGAAGATAACTTATGTGGGATCTGCTGAGGATGAGACTTATGACCAACTCCTAGAAAGTGTATTTGTTGGACCTGTAAATGTTGGGAAATATCGTTTTGTGCTTCAGGTAACTATTACTCGCTTTAACCTTGCAATCTCACGTGACTGTTATGCTGGAGGAATTGAGGCTGAAACCACTTTGCAGGCTGATCCTCCTGAACCATCCAAAATTCGTGAAGAAGATATTATT